AAAAAAAGAATGAGTGAATGAACAAGGACATGAACAAGTCATTGCAGAACAACAGGAATGAATGAACACGTAATGTCCTAAGTTAGTACGCTTCCACACACCCTGATTTCCCAGCCCTTCCCATCGCCATGGCCCAACACTCACCAGATTATGATGCCCACCAGCCTCATAATAGCCTCATTGAGGCTGTCGAAGAAGTCCCTCAGGACACGGCCCTTGTGTTTCATGCCACCAATGACCAGCCCGAAGGCCACAGAGAAGACCACGAGGCCCAAGGCGTTGATGCCATTGGCTGATCCAGGCACGGGCACCGTCTCCTCAAAGCTCAACACCTCCTGCAGGGTGCCCAAGGCGCGGGTGATATTTTCCAGGAGGCTGGTTCCATTGTCCACTGAGGACAGAGGAGACATGGAGGCACCCAGCTCGGACCCATTCTCTGTCCTCACGACGGTCCTGGTGACCACCCTGGTGCTGTATTGCGTCTTGAACTGAAATACACAAAGACTAGGCTTGGACTTGGTTCAGTGGATGCATCAGAATCACCAGCAGAAATTCCTTTTAGACATCAGATGAGTGCACAGGTTAAGTGCAGGAATTAGCAAGCCATTATGAAAAACAGTATGGAGCTTCCTTTAAAAATTAAACATAGTGGGGCCAGCAGGTGGCATGGTGGTTAAAGGCGCTGGATTCCCACATGGCTGACTGTGGTTTGAGTCCTGGACCTGGCATCTTCTCTCTCTCTCTCTCACTCTGTCCCTCTCTGGTCAAATTAAAATAAACAAATGAATAAGTAAATAAATAAAGTTAGATAAAATTTTTTTAAAAAATTAAAAATAGTAGTTGGGACCAGCAGTTAGTGTAATGGCTATGTCGCTGAACTCCCATGTGGTCAACCGCGATTTGAGTCCCGGATCCAGTGGCTTAAACTCACGTCAGGCACGTGTGCGTTCGTGCCCAAGATCCCGAGAGGAGAATGGAGGAGAAGGCATTGCAATGTGGCCATCCCCTGTAGGGGGTGATTTCTCGCTTTCTATCCCTCTGTTCCTCTCTGTCTTTCTGGCGAGCACACGTGCCCTATAACAAAAACCTCTCCAAAAAAAAAAAAAAAATTAAAAATAGTGGTCAGCCCAGTGGTACAGCAGTAACCTAATGCTTTGCAATGCTGGACTCAAAGGGGAGGGTCCTGAGTTCTCTCTGTGCACATCATGAGCAGGCACATGTATGCCTATGGTATGGGCTGGCTGAGGCTGGGGTGGATCATGGCATGAAGACTCTACTGAGGGTGGACCGGCAGGTGGCATGGTGTTTAAGGTGCTGGACTCCCATATGGCTGACCATGGTTCAAGTCCTGGATCTGGCAGCTTGCTTTCTCACTATTTATTCTCTCTCTCTCTCTCTCTCTCTCTCTCTCTTTCTCTCTCT